GGGAACATTGCCTCCGCGCGCACGGGACCGCGGAACGCGATCCACGAGCCGATGCAGCTCTCACTTCCGCAGCCGTAGCCCTCCGATTCCTCAGCATCGGAGTCGCGCCCGATCGCTCGATCGTCACTCAATTTGTCAAGCTCACGATTTAAGCTATCCGACAGCGCGCCGGGTTCGCTGTAAGCCGAGGCCAGCGCGAGCACTTTTACAGCGCTATTTCCGCTGCTGCGGGAATGCCAAGTGCGAAACACCAAGTGCGCCTCAACCAGATGCGCGACAACCGCTTCGAACAAGTTCTTAACCAAATTCGTTGTTCTCTGCTCTTCCGCGCCGGCCGAGACGCGAGACAATTCTTCGGCAAATGACGTTCTCACACGCACCTCAAGCATGAAGCCACCGTTCGCCCGCAACCGCTCCAACACGCCTTTAGACAACGCGGTGATCAACTTGCTGCCCGCGCGGTACTGGAAGAAGAAGCTGCTGTCATAAACCTTCTCGACGTCGAAAAAGTCCCGTACCCACAGCACGCTGTTATAACCAACGATTTCGGAAGATTTGCGCGACGCTTCTTCAACGACAGTGCGTTTGCAAACCAGAGTTTCTTTGTGAACAATCAGCAATTTCTCGAGGTGTCTGCAGTGCTGAAACGTGGTTTTCGAATCTGTTAAGCCAGCGCACTGAACGTCGGCGTGCACGCAGCCCTTGTCGCGCTGCTGAAAAACAGACTTGAGAATGGAAAGCTTTGGCTTGTCCACTAGCAAACTGCCGTTATACTGCTTCGAAACGAGACTGACGATCGCCGCGTCTGACAAAGAAAAGCAAATAAAGACGAACTCGGCGCGGTACTGCGCAAAGTGCGCTGCGTTCAGCTCGCAGCGAAGCCGCGCGCCGCAGTCGCCGAAGAGACGAGCCGCAAAGCTCTCAAGCAGCGTGGCGCGCTCTGTGAGGCTCAAGGACTTGCGATTCGCGGTTACGACGATCAGCGGGTTGCCGAAAAGCGTCAGGAAAACGGAAGACCAAGCAGAAAATCGGCTGCTGCCGTCGCTCGGCAAAGCGGCTGCGCCGCTCGGCGCGAACGCGTCATTTAAGAAATCAGCAACTGCAGTGACTACGTCGTCGAGCGTTAAGCTGTCCAGGCCACTGTCATAAAGCAAGTTGAACACATAGGCGTTCCACATTCAGCATGAAATGCCGCTCGGGTGACCGGTTTGCAGAAGCAGGGTTAAAAATTAACCGCAGCCGGGTTTGGAATTAATGCGTATTTAATAGGCGCAGGTCCTGTTTTCAGGTTTTTCGCGAACCGCGTCCGCGGCGCGAGTGCCGCAGAAAACCCAAGTTCTAACACTAGATCGGTGATTTACATATAACACTGCATTACATGCGTCGGTACTCACACGTTTCAAAATTTCGTTGCCGCGCTATCTGCTGCGCAAGTTAACGAACTGAAGCGCATTGAGTGCGCGCCAAATAAGTTCGCTTCAAAGCGCATATTAAATCAGTTCCGTAAATGTCAAGATGGCTTAGCTCCTTAAACAAGAAAACCACGCAGCTGAAGAATAAACTGCATTTGTACCACAGACACGATGTAGATTCCAGTTCGTCGCACGACCACCGGTGCTGTCCGAAGCTTGGCAGCGATCACGATTTCTTGCGCAGGAACATCTCCGCATGGGGTGACAACTCGCTGTCTGACGTAGAGAAGATCGCACCTAGCATCATCAGTACGATAGACAGTTTGTCGCAGTACAAATCAGCGGATGCCACTGCGGACAAAGACTGCTGTGAAGCCGTGCAGCTTCCGGAGCTGCTGTACGGCAGCATTACGGCGCACATGAAGAACGCAGAGGACTTGTTTGCGCACGCCTCTAGCAAGAGTTTGTTGCAAGAGTATCCCTACTCTTTCCACACGTCTCCGTTTTTGTCAGAAGGTTCTGAGAGCAGCAACTCTTACCTAATCCACGAGGAAAACGACAACATGATATCCCAGAACAGCAGCAAGCGAAAGGTGCTCAAATACATGTGGAAGTCGCCGAAAACGAACTGCTTGATCCCGGCTGCCGTCAAGTTTGTGAGCGACCAAAACAACCGCGACGGCCGCAGCCTGAAGCGTGAAATCGAATGCCACATTTACGCGCGTATGAAGTTAGCTCAGCTGCACGAAATGGAACAGAAGCTGCACGCGTTCCACCAAAGTGTCTTTAGCTACACGAAAATGGACATCTGGGCGAAACCCACGCAGCTAATTGACTCTTGGCCATGCAGCGAGCTGATTGCCTATCACGTCGACAAGGGCACTCCGGGCAACTCGGTGCTAATCACGCGACGGCTGAAAGGACCGGATTTCTTTGACCTGATCAGAGGCGAGCACAATCACTCGTACAAGAACCACAGCTTCATCAACGGTGATCAGTTCAAGTGCTGCTACTACATGCAGGAAATTGGAAGACCCAACTATTTGAAGCGAAAGCACGGACAGTACTTCAACTACAGCCCTTGCGATCCGCGACTGCGTGAGCATTTCAGCTACGCGAATCAGCCGAACACCTGCGAATTCTATCCCGAGAGCTACAACTACTTCAAGCTCCGATGGGCCGCGCTGGCGCTGAAGCGGCTCTCACAGTACCATTCGATCAATGTGCGCCACAACGACGTCAAGCCGGATAACGTGATGTGCGACTTCTTCCGCAACGAAAAAGGAAACTTTGTGCTAGACGTCAAACTCATCGACCTCGGTACTGCGAGTTTGGCGGAAACGAAAGACTTCACCGGCGGGACTTCTTGGTACGAGTCACCCGAGCAGAAGCTGCTTGAGTATTACGGGAAAAAAAAGCAGGATGCAGCAAGTTCCGAGCGAGTTAACATCAGCCTAACGTCGGACGCCTGGGGCGCTGGAATTGCTCTGACGGAAGTTCTGCTTGGAAAGCGCGTAGTCGATTCGTACAAGAATAGCAAATACAGCGGTCCCCTTGAGTATCTGGGCGCTGATTTGACGGTAAAGAGCGTTAAATCAAGTTCGTCGCTGAAAGACATGCTGCACAACAGTGCGGCGAGTCAGCTTCCCAGGCGAGACTCGCTGAGCGAGCACCCGTACTGGCGCGTGCGTCCGAATGACTGGGTGGCCAAAACGAAAGAAATAATGTTTTTGCCGCTGACGCAGACGTGGCAAAACTCGACGCTGCTCGCAGCGGCAGAGTGGCTCTTCGAAAACATGGTGCGCACGAAGCCGTCCAGCCGCTACAGCGCCGAAAGCTCAATGCACGTCATCGAGCAATTCGCCGAAGAAGAGTACCAAAAAATCAGATACTTCCTCACCTCTTTCAGAACTCCGCGGTACGAAAAGGATTTCCTGCTGCAACAGCAAAGCATGTTCTAGCGATACAACGAATCCGTTATGCCAGGACGCTGTAAAGCGCTCGGCTCACACGTACGGTTTCCACTTTTGACGAGAGCAGCAACCAATCGGGGCCCTGCGGCAACAACGAAGACTCAGAGACTACAACTTTGAGTCCCAGTCCGACGCAGCGCTCGATGAGCGCAAACGCCTCGTCAGGGCGCTCGAGCTCGCTCGTCATGGGCGTGGCTAAGACTTGCGCCTCTCGCATCAGACGTGGACACCGTCCGCCTTTCGAACAAACCAATAAATGCAACGCAGCGTTGCGGAAAAAACGGAATTCAGGAGCGCAGGAGGTGAGCCGCATCTGGCTGTCAGTCGCGACACACAAAAAGTGTCTTAACACCGAGAAACCGAGGTGCGCGAGCTTAGACTGCGCATTTCTGTAGCCGCACCCCGACAGCCAAACGATGGCAAAGGCATTGTCTTCAAGCGCGGCGAGAAAGGCTTCGAGCTCCGGCCGCGCCGGCCAGTCGGCCGCGAGAAAACTTTCTTCGAAAACCACAGCGCTAGCGCTGCGCGCCAGCCGCGCCGAGCTCAAAAACGACAGTGGCAAGCACCTGGGGTACGCGCTGCGCTCCATCGCATCGCTTTCAGAGGCTTGGCATTTCAGCACGTCGACCTGCGCTCCGTTTGAGCAGAAAGTTTCTGCAGTCATCAGTCGCGGACGCGTGCTGAAGTTGACGAAGTTCGGGAGGCGGTCGAGCGCCAGGCGCCGGTGCGCGTAAGCACACGAGAGCTTGGAACACGTGTCGTTCTCCAAGCAGTCGCCGAGGTTGAGATTGGTCATTTGGCGCAACGCGAGGCGGGAGTGAAGCTGCAGACAGGTGTCGCGGCCGCTCATCGAAGCGCAGTAGCGCAGATCAATGAAGGGACACAGCGGCAGACTCGCGCGCTCAGGCTCTTCGGGCAACGGAGCGCAGTAGGTTCTGTGCAGCAGTTCCTCGACCGACTCGGTCTCGCACAGCGCGTCGGCTTCGTGGCGAAGCTCATCTCGCAAAAAAGAAAGCCGCTGCGTGACCGCCAGTCGCACTTACCTGCTCCGCAGACTCGCGGTCGAGCAACGAGCCGACTGCGATTCCGCCAAACATTGGAACGGCGCGGGCTACATTCTACGAGCTATTAGAAAATGTTAAAATAAATAGAGGCTGCTCGCAAATGGCACGCCTCGCTTCAACTTCACAATGGTAGCCAGAAACTTTTCCTCCAGCCGCTTGTTCCCCATAAGGCGAGCGACCACGCACGCTTCGCGCAGCATCTCTTCAATCCGCTTCAGCGATCGCACAAAACAGCCCTCAAAAATGCGGTAGTCGGCGCAGATCTTGAAAAAAGAGACGCCAGACATCCAGTGCGCAACTGGTTGCATCAGAGCTTTGCCGTACGCGGAAAACTCGTCTTGGAAGTAGGGGTCCATGTTGAAAGACCTGCTTTTCGCGGCGAGCTGGTCGACCAGCGCCATGACTTCCTTGTACAGCTTGTGCAACTCGTGGTCGAGCGGCTTGTCGCTGTCTTTGACTTTCTCCTCGACAACGAAAATGGAGAAGACGGCAGCGATGCTGCTGGGTTCGAGCTGCTGCAGCTTCTCGAAATTGAACAGCAAGTCGCCGAGCACTATCGGGTTCATCGAAGACACGTCGCAGAAGTTCACGCCTTTTTTAGTTGGCACGTTGTTTGCGTCGATGTACCCCGTCGCGCGCAGCAGTTCAATGATGGCGTTGAGCGAGTCGATCTGTCGGTCTGAGCTTTTCTTTTTGATTTCGCTCTCGAGTTTCTGCAGCTGCAGCGAGGCGCGCAGCTTCGCGGCGTACGCGCTCAACAAGCGGTCTGCAAACGACAGACGTCGCAACGCGCTGGCGAGCACGCTGTCGCCCAGTTTGCAGAGTTGCGCGTAGCACTCGGTCAGCGGGCGCTCGACCTCGCCGTCCTCGGCGCGAGCTTCCAGCGGGTCCAAAGCCTCCAACGCATAGTTCTTTTGCGCGAGCAGGCGGCTGAGCGACGCGGCTGCTGTCGCTCTTTTCTGGTCAGCCGTGAGGTTCACTTTGTCGCGCAAAATGTACTTCGTGAACAGCAAAATGTCAGCCAAAGCAAACGTTTTCTCGCTCAAGCAAAGGCTGGCGGGCGACTCCGCAGCGAGCTGCAGATCCTGCAGCGGCGCCAGTCCAGGCAGCGCAGCGCAGTGCGTCAGCGGGCAGTCGCTGTCGCTCCGCAAGAAGACCAGTGCCTTGATGCGGTTCACCGGGCCCGTCTCGTCGCGCTCGAGCCGCAGCGACTCGATGATGCCGTAGCCGTAGTCGCAGTACTCGTGCGGCGAGGCCGTGCGCACCACGAAGCGCGCAACGCGGCCGCGCACGCACAGCTTCAGCAGCGCGCTCGCGTGCGGCGCGAGCACGGCGAACACGCGGGAAAGCATCTCGCAGTACTGCACGTAGTAAGAAAAGAGGTCGGTGAGCTCGAGTTCGAGCGCATCTTCGAGCTCGTCGTCCTCCGCCAGCGCCAGGACAGCCGCGTACTGCGCGCGCGCGGCGTCGGTCACGCGGCCGCGGTTCTCCGCGCTGTGCTGTGAGAGCGCGTCGAAGTCAAGCGCGCCGTCGCCGTCGGTCGCTGCCGCAACGTTCGCGAGAAACGGCACGGTGAGCCGCTCAACTTTGCGCTGCAGTGCGTCGCGCTGCTCGAGCAGCAGCGCGAGCTTGTTCTGGTTTTGGAACGCGTAAAAAGAGCGGCGAATGATGTAGCGCGGAGTGATGCCTTGAACGCGCAGCAAGTTGAGCACGGTGCTAAACATTAAGTGAAAGCGACTGTCGAGCGGGTCCGGCTGGCCGTCGAGCAAGTTGGCAATTTGCTCCGCTTCGTACGGGAAGTCGAGCAGCACGATGCTGTGGCCCTGCGGGTCGAGGCCGCGGCGGCCGGCGCGGCCGCTCATTTGGATGTACTCCGACGGCGCAATCATGCGCGTGGTCTCGCCGTCGTACTTGCGCAGGTTGGTGAACACGACGGAGCGCGCGGGCATGTTCAGACCCATGCTAAACGTCTCGGTGCTGAACAGCACGCGGATCATGCCCGCCTCGAACAGAATCTCAGTGACTTCTTTGAGCAGCGGAATGAGGCCGCCGTGGTGCATGCCGAAGCCGCGCACGAGCAGATCCGCCTGCTCAGCGAACTGCTGCACGCGGCGGTCTTCCGCGGAAAGCGTGGCGAGCGCGTTGTCGAAGACTTCCTTAATCTGCGCCTTCTCGTCTGCATCGGTCAAATCGAAGTCGCCGAAGAGCTGCGCGTTGGCCTGCACTTCTCGCCGCGAGAACGCGAAGACAATCACCGGCAGCAGCTTTTTCTTGATGCACTGCGCCACCACGCGCCCGAGCAGCGAGTGCTCGGCCGAGCCGACGCGCGGGCGCGCGCGCTTTGCGGCACCGTCGAGCGCGAGGTCCGCCGAATTGGCGACGGCAGCGAGCGCGCTCTCGATCGCGGGTCTCAGCACGACGCAGTCCTTGCCCTTGACCAGCTGAAAGTCGGAAGCGTGGTCGCTGAAGAGGTAGTGGCAGAGCGGCGTCGGGCGGAAAGAGGTGCTGACCACGTTGCAGGCGCGAGTCTTCGTCTCGCAAATCCAAGAGGCAAACTCGAGCGAGTTCGGGATCGTGGCGGAGAGGAAAATCATGTTGACGGAATTCGGCAGCAGCACAATCGCCTCCTCCCAAATCACGCCGCGGTCGCGGTCGCGCATGTAGTGCACTTCGTCGAAAATGACCCACTTGAGTTCGCGCATCATGGCGGAACCGCGAAACAGCATGGAGCGCAGAATTTCGGTAGTGACAATCAAGATTTGCGCAGCCGGGTTGAAGCAAACGTCGCCGGTGAGCAAGCCGACCTTGTCGGGGTACGCTTCGCTAATGTCGCGAAACTTTTGGTTCGACAGCGCCTTGATGGGGCTGGTGTAGACGACTTTTGCGTTGTCGTCGACTGCAGCTTGAATGGCGTAGAGCGCCACCGTCGACTTTCCGGCGGACGTGTGCGCGGAGACCAAGACGTTCTCGAGTTTGTCTACGCACTCGCACGCGATGCGCTGGAACTCGTCCAATTTGTAGGAAAACGTTATGCAAGCCGACTTAGAGCGCGGCGCCGGCGCCACGTAGTTTCGCGGCTGAACGCGGTAATGCTCACAGAAACTACATTTTTCGTCGCTCGCAGGGCTTGAAAAAGTTTTCACCTCGTACGAGGGCGTCATGTACGAAAAAGTAATTACAAAAAATTCAGCAAATCACTGTTTCGGTTGAGCAGCTGTTCCATCAACTTGCCCTCCCCACTCTCTTCGTGGTTCAGCGCCTCAGTGTCAGACTTTGTGTACAGTAGCGCGTCGACGATGGCTTTGAGAACGCTAGGGTTGTTCTGTAGCAGCGTCTCGTAGCGATCCGCAATCTTCGCGCGAAAAGTGATTTCGCGACACAGCGCATTGTAAATCGCGTCGTTGCGCTTTTCCACAGCCTCCAACTCCCGGCGGAGCAGCTCGCCCTCGCGCAAATGGCGCGAAAACACCTCGTGTGCGATGGCCGGCGTGCAAAGCGCGCTGTCCAGCTCAGAAGCCGAGAAGCGGTGCGTCGGCGGCAACAGGTCAACGGTCCTAGCACCGCGAGCCACAATCGTGCCTTCGGGCTGCGCAAACAGTGGCGCCACCGCGTTCTGTTCGACGCGGCTCGCGCCTACACTGTCCGCAGACACGAGTCGCGTGTCGATGACGGCCGGCGGCGCAGCGCCGTCAAACGGGTCTGACGCAGAGCGCATGAATGCGTGGTCCAAGATGTGCGCCGCCAAGTCACTCAGCAGCTTGTTGAACCGCTGCAAGTCGCCCTCCGACGCTTTCATCCGTTTGAGCTCGCAAATCACGGTGCGCGGCAAGAACCACACAACTACGTTCCGCAGATCAGCGGTCACCGCAGAGCTGCTCCCCGTTAGCAGGAAGTAGTGATCTTTGCCTTCGTCAAGCACCTTCAAAAGATCTAGGTCCTCTCCAGAGGGGCCATCTGCTACCGCCGGTAGCGCGCGTAGCGTTTCGAGATCCAGCACCGCGACGGGCAGCACGATCGACTTGAGCGCTGCAGCTACGGAGGCTCCCGTTTCGGCGTCATCCAGCGGCGCGAGCGGCGCCTCACAGTCGATAGACTCCAGCAGTTGAAACTGCAGGTGTGCGTTCCCGTAGGGCAGCACGAACGGCTGGGTGATTCGCAGCTCGGCATGGTGCAGTCGGCTGAGAAATTTCAGTCGCGCGTTGTCGATCGATGAGAAATGTTGCTTCGCAATGCGGAGAAGAGCCTCGTCGCCGCCTGCGCTCGCAAAACCAGGCAGGTCGCCGCCGTTTAGATCGAACAGCGGCTGCGGAGCATTTTTGGCCCGCAGCATGCGCCAAAGACAGAAGTCGTTGGCGTCGGTCGTATTAAAGCACAGCGGTGACTTCATGCTGACCATTGGAGCGCCGCTCTGTGACGCGCTCTTCTTCGCAGCAGCGTCGGGCAGCTCATCTGGCGCGTCGTCGCTATTAGAAAGAGTTGGACTCTGAGTCTCTTCAGCTTCGTTCAGCTGAATTGGTTTCTTCGCAATTTCCGAAAGTTCTTTGCGCTTCGCTTCCACTTGCATTTCGTAAGCTTTTGCAAGCTCAATGAGTTGCTGGACGGTGGACACGTTGAACTGGATCCAATTGCCCTCTGGAGCGACAGCGAAGACACCTTCGATCCTTGGTTGCTTAACGATCCACTCGACCTGGTTCGGAGAGACGTGCTCGGCTAAAAGGTACTGTTTGAAGTCTTGAATGCCGTCCACCCTGACGCAAACTTCGTCTCCGTTGACAAAACTTTCAAACGCCGCAAGCGGCGCGACAGTCAGAAAGTCGTTCCAGCAACGACTTCCCGAGTTTGCGCGAAAGTAAAGCTTCATATTGCTAACTTTGCAGCGAGCGAGATAGACTTCCGCTCACTTAGACTAGCAAAAAGAATGCAGAAAACTTCTTTTAAATAAATATTAGTAGCAAAAATTATTTCTTCGCTTACATTCGCTGATGAAACAACCTTGGGTAATTTGCGACTGAGAACCTATCTTCGTGATGCTAAGACGATTTCTGAGAAGCGTAACCATTGTAACTGCACCTGCACAACAGCCCGGGCTGCGCGCTGCGGCGCGACTCACGTGACGCTCTGCGCTGGTTTGCGGCAAATCCACTCTCTATAAATCGGTGTGTCCCAACGCGCATTGAGGCGATCGCAACGCCAGATGGCGGCGATTTCAGCTGAAAACGAACGCTTGCGTTCAGTGCTGCAAGCTCGCAAAAATACGGGCTCAGCATTCTTCTGTGAGGAGCCTCATGCCGGACCAGACGGCGCACGAAGTGCTGAGCGGTTGCGTTCAAAAGGCGCTATTCGAAATCCGGCGTCGCCCTGGATTACGCCGGCGCAGCAGAAGTGCGCTGTCTCTCGAAAGCAGTTGCTGCCTTGCGCCGCGCGCCACGACCGCATCAGAATCAGGTTGAACGCGTTCTATGCAGACCGCCGCAAAGCAGTGCAGGGATCACTGCTTACAGCCGCGCAGTGCTTGTTGGAAAAGTAAGCGGCTCAGCTGCGGTGCAGCGCAGGCCCGGCGATGTACGTCTCGGATAAATCTAGATTTGCGACGACCCAAATATCGTCTTTGAACACGAGCAGTTTCTGCGAGTCGTGCTTGTTTTGCGTTAGTTGCGTTACCGGGAACACCGTTTTTATGAACTCCTGCAACTTCAGCGCCTCAAGCGGCTCAAACGTGTGGCTGTAGAAGTACACTTGCCGTAGTGCGTCGCCGCTCGAATTTATCGCCGCGTCGAACACTTTTTGGTTTCGAGCCAGAGAAAACGTATCAGGCTCAATAGTGTCGAAGTTGCTGTACGGTTCTTTGTCGTAGTAGCTGCGCAGCAGTTCGTAAATCAGCGCGCCGAAGCGCGAGATTTCGCTGTCGTTTTCGTGATACGCCGAGTGTACCAGCGGCACCGAGCTGTTGAGCCGCGCGACGAACCGCTCGAGCCGCGCAATAAACTTGTACATCGCGTTAATCTCTTCAGTGAGTAGAATGACGTTCAGTTTGTGCTTGTGCGGCACGCACTCGTACTCCGTGCTCGACCCCAGCAGTGTGCGGTGAACGTGCTCCACTGAGCCGACGCCCAGCACGAGGTTCATCGCGCTGATGTAGTAATTGCCAAACAGGATTGAGTCCGGGTGACTCAGCGAACTGTAAAACGTGGCTTCGGTGTCCTCGTTATGCACAGTGCGCTTCGTGAGCCCGGGTTGCTCGTGGTTCGTCGCGGTGTAGGTGTATTGCTTGTTCAGCCCGGTACCGATCTGCACGTAGCCTGCGAGGTGCATCTCTTGAAGGCAGAACAGTCGAAGATGCTCCCAGTGGTTCGAAAACTTCGGATCGACATCTTCGAGGCTGACGGTGCGCGCTTCGAGCGACTCACACGTCTTGCGCAGTCCTGCCAGCAGCGTGGCCTCGTTTTTTGATTTGCTCGGCGCCGCTTCGCTGATTAACGAGCCGCTGTTGAAGAACACGTAGTCTTTCAGTCCAAAGATATGCTCTACCGAGTTCCGCGTCGAGTCGAACGGCTTGAACTTGATGCTGAGCGACTCAATCTTGCTGCAATGCTAGCTCGTGATTAGTGCGCACTTACCATGACTTTGCCGAAGCAGAAGCATAGCGCTAATGTCTTGCGACAGCGCGAAAAGTTCATTCGCTCGATCGCCTGCCACTTTCTATCTCAGCATAAAATCTGAAAAGTGTGCGCAAGTATTTAGAAAACTGCCTAGAGCCGCTGCGCTCTAAAGCTACCACTTTACGCGGGAAGACGCAGCACGTCTGAAGCTATAGCGGTCGCTGATCTGCGGTTTGTTAAGCGCTGCTTTATGCGCCGCCTGCAACCTGTGCAGAGGTGCTAAACGCGTCTCTTTACGCCGACTGCAACTTGTGCAAAAGTGCTAACAGCATCGGTTGCTTTCGCAGACGCAACGGTTCGCGCCTTATAAGGCTGTTACAGTCAACGTTGGTCGAACTGCATGCTGCAAATTTTGGCTTTGCGACTAACTAGTATAATTAGTCCGCAGCTGTTTTTTTCTGCCGCATCTTCGGTAGAGCGATATCCTGGGTATCTGCAGCTTCCTGTGCAACTTCTATAGTCTAAAGCTACGAACCGAGCTGATCACTGAATGTTACTTACGCATTGAATGTTGTATAGGATAGCACCATTGGCACAGCGTGGATCAGCGAGTCCATTCCTCCACATGGCGATCTGCAGCATATTTTTGTTGCACTCAATTGTGAAAGATCATTTCGCAGAGATGAAGGTCATGCTTGGCATGCCAGATAGAAATTGCGGGATGAAGCCGCCGCTCTCGATAGAAATATAGATCACAGGGAAAAATTGTACCAGCCATTGGTGTTGAAGTCCGCCGGATTGCTCGGAAAAAAATTTCAACGAAGTTTGCTGGATTGTCCGCAAAAAATTTTGACTGAAGCATGCCAGTCTTGCAGGAAATATTTTTTAGTGAAATCTGCCGGGCTGACTTGAATTTTTTTAATTATGATGTTTGCCTGTTTGACCGAAATTTGTTTTTCACCAAGTCTGCCGTCGCAAGAGCGAAAATTTTTTCAATGATGTACATTTATGACCGTTACCTAAAGAACATCATCCGAAAAGTTGCTTGCACATATTTATACATATATCCAACTCGCAACTTGTGAAAATTTTTGCGCACCCCAGCACAATTGAGCTGATCAGGCCGATACTTCTTTGCTGTAGTAGCATGCATCACCACACTTTCTTTAAACAATATACATGTTTTGCTGCAGCCGGACCCCGACAGTGTTGCATCTCGATAAACTTTTCCCCGATGCATTTTTGAAAAATTGTTTTTTAGTCTATTGATGAAGCATAGTAGTACTAAATGAGTCAGCAAAGCTGTTTTTCCAAGTGATATTCCCAAAATCGAGAGATTTTATCAGGATCCAGCGCTGAGAATCTGGATAAAACAGCGCGTTTCACGATTTTGATTCAAAAAGAGAACTGTATTTCCAACACAGAATCAGTAGCTAACGCCCTGCTTTCGGTCGGAAACTGACTTGTTCCGGTAGTTAATGACAAGTCGAGTTACTAAAAAAATGAATTAACAACTGAACGGTCAGACGGGAGTGTGAGGCTCGCGGCTTTTCGAGTTCGCA